CCTTAGCGTGTTGTAGTAGTAATTGAATCTTGGCTCAGTCATCCCATAAGCTGTGAAATCAGATTAGGAAAAAATAAACAATTTAGTAATGTTGAAATATGGTGAAACACATTAATTGTTCACATTTTACATGGAATTTATAGCCCTAATTTCTCAATTTTCTAACTATTTATTAAGAGCACGATAGAAATTATTTATAAATAATTCTTATCTACTTTAAATAGATCTCATTATATCATGTTATTTATAAATAATTTATATTATATTTTTATAATTTTTATTTTAATAAAAATTACTTATAAATACTTTCAGCCTTTGATAATTTATAATATATTTTTTAACAATTTATACTACACTTTTTTCTTCAAAGACCTTTTTTTTCTTCCAACTTTCAATTTTCTTTTATTTTTTTTCTCTCTCAATGTATTTAACCTTCTCTCTTTCTCTTTCTCTCTCGTTCCCTCTAGTTCTCTCTTTTTCTCGTGGGTGTGGGTGGTTGATGTGGTTGTGGATGTGGCTGTCAATGGTGGGTGTGGTTGTCGGTGGTGGGAGTGGCTATCGGCGGTGGTCGTGGGTGGCGGAGAGGTCGGATTCAGGCTGCGAAGGTGGTGACTGCCTGGAAAGCTTGCTCCTATTTTTTCTTTGGTTTTTTCTTGTCTTTCTAGCATGGAGGGAAGATATTTCTCCAACCAATCGCAACACTTCGTGTCAATGATCCATACACCCAAGTTCTATTGCTTCAGTAAGGAATAGAGTTAAAAAAAATTCTCCTTTTTGTACCATGTAATCAATTTACTTGTAAGCATCGATTCTTAATAATAAGATACAACATAAGCATCCCGCAATGGAGATGATCTAACATAGCATCACACCTAGATCAATAATATTGTTGCTTAAGTATGAGATTAGGCCATTTTTATATATAAAAAATTTAATCACATTCTTAAATATAAAAATTGATTTCTGTGAATTTTATTATTAGAGAATATTGACATGTATGGCAGATGGAATAACTATTTTTATATAATTTTTTTAATAATAATCAATTCTCATCGATAAATTTATTATTATTATTCTCCCTTAAATAAAAATAAAAAAGTTGGATCGTCAATGAAGTGAATTAAAAATTTAAGTTAAGTTTCTTTGAGTAAAAATATAAAAAGATCTTAAATCTTTAGTGGCATTAAAGGACCCAAAAAATGAATTCATAAATTATTAATTTCAGTTTTAGTATTTAAAAAATATCACAAAACTATTAATATTCTTACTTTTTAATACAATTTTAGTTATTATTATTTTAATTATTTTTAGTTATTTTTAATTATTTAATCATCATAATTAAAAGTAACGCATTTATTTAAAAAGTGAAATTATTTTAATAAAATTATATTAATAAGTGATACATTTATTATTTTTCTTAATCTATGCATACAAATCTTAAACAACAATTATTGTGGAAGGAGAGAAGTATATAAAAGGAATAATTATTTAAAGAATTTAATTCTTAAAAAAAGCTTAATGCCTCAATAATTATTTCTTAGTTTGAGGATGATAATACTTTATGTTTATCCAGAATAATAAGAAGGGTAAGAATTATTTTTAGTTCCTCTAAAGAAATTTAAATTTGCCTTTGATTCTTTAAAATATTTTGCATTAAATTAGTATCTCTAAAATTATAACATGTTAAGACGAATATTTTTTTTATAATTCCATTAACGATAGTATCTGACATGACAAGCTAAAATGCACGAGACAAACGAAGAAAAAAAAATAGTCCCTCTATAATATTTTAAATTATCTATTAATCCTTCAAATTTTTGTTGTATTAAATTAGTCTTGGTAAAATTAAAACAAATTCAATCTAATTCATGAAAGATGTTAATTTCATCTTATATAGGGTGAATAGTAGATATAATTAGATCATTTTTATTTTCCTTATTATGAAAGTAGTTGTATATTTACAAGTTATTATCATGATAAAAAATCATCTATTAATGAAACATATTTTTTATTATGTCTACTAACCCAATATTTTTTTTATGTCTAGTGTGGATGGAAATCTTATTTTTTTATGAAGCATTAAAGTAATCTAATTATATTTACTATCCAATTTTTCATGAAATTTAATAATCAAATTTAATTTATTTATTTTTACAATAACAAATTAATAAAAAAAATTGGAGGAACAAATCGAAAGTTTTTAGAGGAAGTATGTTTCTTATTGGGTTATTAATGGACCAATTTTTATTTAATTAGGACTTGATTACCAATTTAATAGATTAAATTGAAACTTATTATGGCTAATTGGATATTAGTTGGATATTTGAAAAATGAGGGTTTGTGGATAAGATGTGGAATTTTGACGTTGAAAGAGTTGTCATAGTCATGGTCAGAGAGGGTGAAAGGCAGGACTATATCAAGTAATATATAGTGTCATTTCCATTTACTGCATTGTTATTATGATTTGTAGAGTGCAGAGTGAATAAGGAATTGGATAGGCACTGTGACTGTGCATACTGCATTGTGCAATTACAACTTGGAAAGTTATTTGAGACCACAGACAGTCCCACAGAACACAGACTACAGTTGTGCCATTATTGTCATCAATGTCATGAATGCTCTTCTCTGCCCCCCCACATGTTTTCATGCATCTGTAATGTATTCTACTCTGCACAAACACTTGCATCACTCAATCATTTATCATTCTATACACAGAAAGCCACTGTTCCCTCCCTTTATTTGCAAAAATAGCGAAGGCTAACGTTTTTAAATTTGGATTTCAATAAATAAAAGATGTATATATAAATGAGTATGCAAATTTTTTTAAAACATATATATATAATAATCAATGTGATGAAAAAAGCTATAAAACACTTTGTCTTTTTGTAAATTTTGACTAATTTTAAAAAAATAATTCAAATGTTTTATAACTCAACGTGTGTTTGAATTGTTGTCAGAAAATTAAGATGAATTAAACTTAATTATCTAAATTAACATTAAAGAAAAATAACAGATTCTCTTGCTTTTAATTCAACGGGAGTTCCATGATTTTTTTTCTTCTGAAAAATATTTTCTAGAAGGATAAAAGTATACTTTTGAAATGTACTTTTTCAGAAGAATAAGAATATATTTTTTAAAAATATTTTATGAAAAAGTAAATATATTATTTTAAAAATGTTTTTTTAAAATATGTTTTACTCTTCCATAAATATATAAAGAATCACAAGACATAATATAAAATTAGTTTATGATACTAAATAAAAAATATATTATTTTTAATCGAACATTCATCGTAAATTTAGTGAATCATATTTTACGAAATATTTTGAAAAGAACTCCACCTTATATTTAAGGATGACAAATATACTCGTACTCGCGGATAATACTTTAACACATCCTAATTTTGATTGGGAATATTCGGTTTGACCGGGTACGGGTACGGGTAAAACCCTATATATTAAGCCGGGTACGGGTACGAGTATGTACTTACCCGCCCCGTACTCGTACCCGTCCCCGTTCCAATTTTCAATTTAATATTCACTTTCAATTTAATTATATTAAAAAAATTTAATATTTTTTATGAGTGATTATTTATTATTTTATGAGATAGAGAAATAACTTAATTATAATTATAATATAATAAAAAATAATTTAAAAATATCATACTTTTTTATAAATAAATAAAAAAAATTAACGGGTACGAGTATACCCGATACTCGACGGGAACGGGGATGAGAATAAAAATCATATACCCAACGGGTATGAATACAGGAAAGGGGATGAGTTTGACTTGCGGGGACGGGGACGGGTATCATGAAACTC